CTAAATGATGATGGAAATAATCTTCCTACGTCTAATTTAAATCCATTAAACCAAGCAATACAACCAACTTCGCTAAGAGAAATAAAAAATGAAATAAGAAATATGAAACTAAAGAAGGCTCCTGGTTGGGATCAGATAACCGCTGAGATCTTAAACCAATTCCCTAATAAAGGAATAATCAAACTATGCAAAATAATTAATGCAGCTCTGCGCTTAAGACACTTCCCAATTTATTGGAAAGTGGCGGAAGTACTTATGGTACACAAACAAGGAAAACCTGCTAATGAAGTTTCGTCGTATCGTCCAATTTCTTTACTACCCGTTTTATCAAAAATCTTTGAACGAATTCTCCTTAATAGAATACAGATTGTTCTCACAGAAAATCAAATAGTTCCGAGTCATCAGTTTGGGTTCCGAAAAAAGCATTCCACTGTAGAACAAATACACAGAATATGCGACAAAATCGAAAGAGCACTTGAAGAACAAAAAATTTGCACTGCAGTTTTCCTAGACGTATCGAAAGCATTTGATAAAGTTTGGCACAAAGGACTTGTGCATAAGATTGAACAGTGGTTTTCGAGACAAATATCCGAAATTATGTGGTCCTACTTATCTTGCCGATTCTTCAGAGTAAAATATAAAGGTGCGTACTCAACACTTGAACCAATTGAAGCCGGAGTACCGCAGGGAAGCATACTTGGCCCAATTCTGTACCTAATTTACACAGCCGACCTGCAAGTCTCACCAGAAAGTGTTATTGCCACGTTTGCAGATGATACAGCGATCCTTACCACTGGAAACACAATAAACGAATCAACAGAAGCAACGCAGCGTTCCATTGATCAAATTATTAGTTGGACTAAAAAATGGAAAATTGAGCTCAACCAAACGAAAACCGTCCATGTAAACTTCACAAACAAAAAAATTGAATATTTGCCGATAAATATGTGCAGTGCTCAAATACCATACTCAAACACAGATAAATACCTTGGCATGAACTTAGATGCTAAGTTGAAATGGAAAGAACATATAAAGAAAAAACGAGTTGAATTAGAATCCAAATACAAAAATTTATATTGGCTTCTTGGGAACAAATCACCCGTCTCTCTAAACAATAAATTAATGATATACAAGCAAGTCTTAGCTCCGGTGTGGACGTATGGAATCCAGTTATGGGGTTGTGCACCAAAATCCACTATTCAAATCATTCAAAACTTTCAAAACAAAGTTTTAAGAAACTTAGTCAACGCTCCGTGGTTTATTAGGAATACTGACCTCCATCGGGACTTGAAGATCGAATCTGTGGCTGCAGTAATCCAGAAGTTCGCGGTAAAGCACCAAAAACGATTACAACAGCATCCAAACGAGACAGTCAACCATCTGTCTAATACATCTGGCCTGCTGAGAAGACTTAAACGAACAAAGCCTTCAGATCTACTCCCGAATTAGTAGTCTAATAATAATTTAGATTACTACTATTAACACTAAGTCTTTGACAACTTCACAATTTTAATAAGTATACTGAAATGTAACAAAACTGCTTGATAGTTCTTGTATGAACTAGTCGTAGTCAAATGAAACATGTATTTATATTATTGTACATATTGTGTTTCAAAAAATAAAAAAACAAAAAAAAAAAAAAAAAACTTTAAGAATCGAATACTGCAGTATGACACAGAAAAAGGTAGAAAACAGTAAGAGGTCACTGGCGGGATCCCACAAGAATCAGTTCTTGGACGCACAGTGTGAAACGTAATGTATGATGGAGTTCTGAAAATAAGACTTCTCGATAAAGCGACAATAGTTGGATATGCTGATGGCATCGCGTTAATGGTGATAGACAAAAGGCTTGACCAATCAGAAGCAAAATGTAACGATGCAGCAGCAAGAGTACAACGATGGCTTAAAAATGCAGGACTGGAATTGGCGACGCAAAATACAGAAGCAGCACTGATAACCGTAAGAAAGCAAAAAAGAAGATGAAAATTAAAATGGGCAGGCATGAAATATTATCACAAGAAGCAATGAAATACCTTGAAGTCATGATCGATTCAAGACTGAGCTTTAAACAGCATCTTACAGCAGTAAGCTCTAAGGCAGCAGCAGTGAATAACACTAACACGAATTCTTCCCAATACAGGTAGTCCTCAGGACGAAAGAAGGCATCTTTTGTCTATGGTCACGGACTCTATTATATTTTATGCTGCTCCTATATCTGCAGCAGCAAAAAAGCATCAGATACTTCTGGTAGCACAAATATACGGACGCATTGCGTTACGTGTTGTCTTCGCTTATAGAACAGTCTCTAACGATGCAATATGCGTCATTGCTGGAAAACTGCCAGCTAACGTATATGCAAAAGAGTTAAACCGTTTTGATGGCAGGTAAGGCATAACACCTACGTTAGATCAAAAATCTGTTGCACGTGCATATTCATTTTGAGAATGGCAGCCTATACACTCATTCCCAACTATGGGTGCCAAGCTATGGGTGTCAAGAAAACATGGTGAAGTTGGTTATAATCTGACTCAAATGTTGAGCGGCCACGGAGGCTGTTTAGAATATCTTTACAGATTTCAACTGTCAGATAGTCTAAACTGCCCAAACTACCACAACGTAGTATAAAGTGCAGAACATGTAGTTTTTCGCTACGATTTAACGGTTTAACGAAGAACGGGAAATACTTGTGGAGGGTCTAGGATATCTACCATTTTCTAGCAGCATTGTGTATGAAATGTGCTCAAGTAGCTTTAAATGGAATGCAACTCAAATTATGCGGCGTCTACGAAGAGGAAAGAGGAACAGCTGCAAAGATATACCTGCAATGATAATGAATGCATACATATAGTATGAAAACTATAATAAAATAACGACAAAAAACTGACCGAGAGAGCTAACCGTCGGACATCGGAACGACTTTAGTGTGTTGAATGGACTTTCGATGCTTTAGACCTCGTTAAAAAAAAACATGTATGTCGATAGATTCTACTCTTTTTCTACTATTTAGAAGAACTGCTTCGGTTTTGTGCTCTAATAATTTCAGGTCCATTGCCTTAAGCCAGACTTTAACCACTGCGATGGTGCTATCATATCTCATTACAAGCTCTGCACTCCAACTAATTTTTCTACATTAAATACGCCATCATCATGTTCCAGAGAATGGGGCTTAAAACCGAGCCTTGTGGAACTCATGCCGTCACTATATACCTATGACTTCACACTATCCTTCGTGTCATATATCGGAATGCAATCGTTGAAGTAGCATTTTCGGCTAAATTATACAGTTTTGCTAGAGCATTTATTGTACTCCGGCCTTTCCTTAAACCATGTTGCCATATTGACAGGCCTTTTGGTCCTGCATACTGTTCCAATCTGGCAGCAATAAGTTTTTCAAAGAGCTTCCCAGTAGTATCTAGCATGCACAACGGTCTGTAAGATGGCAGTTCGGGCAGGTTTCCCTTTTTTACGGATAAAAACTAGTCGTTTTACTTTCCACAGTTTTGGAAACGTACTTCTACTAGAGCTGCATGACTGTAGCTCTACTAGAGCTACATAGTTCACCAAATAAGATACACAGACCAGTATTCAAACATTGATTAAACGCATTAGTATTAATCGTGGATATATGTACTCATAAAGAGTGCACTTTATTGTCCTAGGGGTGAAAAATAGTCCCTGAAGGCGGATCAACTGATGTACGTGATCGAAGGTATTGGAATCAGGCTGGCAAGGAGAAGCCATTTGATTGCTAATATTAACTACTTGGGATTCCTCAGAACTAACACTGACGGCAGCTCAGAAGAAACAATGGTGTTATGATCCGTATCTAATCAGATAAAGATTTACTAATTCTGCACTTTAACCAATTTAGCTTACGCAAGTAAGTTAGCACTTCTACCAGTTATTTATATATATAGTATAATTGTTGTAGAGATAGAGACTCCTCAACCGCTAGATAACGTTGTGGAAACCTTCACAAAAGCTTGCAACATAGCCTTGGACCGTTCTTGCCCGCTGAAATCACAGAGAGAAAAGAAAAAGCCATTGTGGTGGTCCGAGGAAATAAGAGATCTTAGGAAATCAAGCAGATACTTCTTTAACAAGGCCAAGAGAAGTAATCTTAACACTGACTGGGACATCTACAAAGTCTGTCCTAAAATATATAAAAATGAAACAAAATGAGCCAAAAGACGCTCCTGGAAAGCCTTCTGTGAAAGCGTGGAGGGTTGTCAAGGAACAACAAGGTTTAGGCGCATTCTCTCGAAGAAACCCTCTAATCTAGTCTACTTAAAAGACGAGGTCAATGGGTGGACACATAGCAGCGAAGAATCATTGTTAATGAATATTCATTTCCCAGATAGCGACATACCAAATAACCTTGGAATAAACCAGGGTTCTACATGTGACTCATCTGTGGTGAATAATATTATCACCAGAAGGAAAATTAAATGGGCTATAGATAGCTTTCTACCATACAAATCACCAGGCCTGGATGGAATTATACCAGCCCAGCTTCATGAAGCAAAGGACATCTCCTGCAACTGGCTCACACCAATCTTTAAAGGTTGTCTTTCCTTAAGGCATATACCAGAGAAATGGAAATTGACAAAGGTCGTTTTCATTCCTAAAGCTGGCAAAAGCTCCCATATTACACCTAAAGATTTTAGACCAATTAGTCTATCCTCTTTCCTCTTAAAAACTTTAGAAAGGCTTTAGGAGCATTTTGTTAGGAAAGAGATACCAGATGAAAGGCTTTCAAAATCACAACATGCGTACTGTAAAGGAAGGTCTGTAGAGACCGCATTATCATCTCCAACTGAAATGA